ATTTTCTTCAAAAATTGCCGTAAGCATCCCCCACGGAAAAATTATGTATCCTATAGAATATACCCTGGAAATATATTCTAGGATGTATGTTGAGTATAAGAAAATTCGTCAAAAAAATATTTCTTAGGATATATTCTAGAATATATCCTAGGATGTATTCTAAGATATATGCATGTGTTACGTCCATTGATTATGAACACAGTGATTGCAATTTCTTTATTAATTATTTCACATTGTAAATTTCACAATGTAAACAATATAGGAAAATACTATTAATTTTTACAGTAACATACCGGTAAAAATAATGATCGTGAAAAATTAACAAGATGAATAATTATTTTTTTAGATCGGGGAAAAAACAATTTTGGATGTAAATTCATAAGTTGTCTATCTAAAATTGTAATTATTATTTTTATGAAAAAAAAATTTATTTCTTCAGCTAAAATGTTAAATTATGGAGAATTATCATCAAATTAATTTCTTATTACAACATTGCTTATTTTTTTCAGAATAAATTTTTTCTTTCGGTGCATATACTTATGTAAGATAAACTGTAATAAGCTTTTATTTTTTTTATTTTATTGGAGACTCCGATAAATTTTATTGAAATAAACTTTAAAAAGTATTTCTGTTATTAACAATTAATAGAAAGTTAAATTTAACTGTAAATTTTGACGAAAATTTCTTCCCGTACATAATAACTAAAAAAATTGCCTTACATATCCGAATAACCTGAAGAAAAATTAAATTTTCGAATTGAAACTCGGACAAATCGCCACCGAAAATATCTAAGAAATTCAAAAATTTTCAACAAATAGGAAGCTACTCCACTACTGAAAATTCAAAGAACGAGAATCGTCCTTCGTAAATATATAAATAGTCACGCGTGAGGTTAAAATTTACTTGGTAGGATAAGACCTACTATTTCTATATATAAAAGTATCCATACGACGGAATATATATGTGTACGATAGTGCTGATTGTAATTAATAGGCGGCGATTGCTCTGTGGAGAGAAAGGCCAGCGAATGAGCCAAGTATATATCCCTCGCGGTTAATTGTCGAGGAAAGAGTAAGTGCGGATACTCACGCCACATCTCACTCGGTTTTTTGTTGACTCACTCTATATGTGCCGGCTTATAAAGTCAATTGCTCAATTTTATTAATTATACTTTCCACCTCCTCTATCTTTCGTCCTCCTTCTCTTTTTCCTCTTCTGTATCCACCGAACTCAAAACAATTCAATTAGTCTTTTTTTTGCCTCGACCGATACATTACTTGTTATTTTGTCTTTATATTAGTTACAGTTTAAAGTTTACTAATTTTTATTAAAGACTTCGACGAATAATTTTTTGGAATTTAGTGCAAAATTAAATTATGTTGAAAAGCTTCAATTTACTTAAACTTATACTCGTTAAAAAACTTTAATTTGCGCTCCCGAAAAATTGTGAGGTTTTATTTGTTGAATTAAATATGTTCTTTTAAATGATGGGCTTACAATCGCGTAAAAGTCACGTATTAAAGAAATTTTTAAGATTGATTTAATGAAAGATGCCGATTTTTGTTAATGAAAATTTTGGCTTTCGCAGATTTTATGAGGATTAATTCACCGAACAAACTGTGTAATAGGATCAAAATATTGAAAAATTATTAATTAATATTCAACTCACTAATTTCAGTTGCTTACTTCCTAGCGATTGCTTATAAATCATCTAATAATAAAAACTTGAACATTTTAAGGACACTAAAAAAAAACTTCTTTATTCAAGTAAAATTTTTTTTTGATCTGCAAGAAAATCATTTTAAAGAAAATTTAACGACTTGATTCAAGAATTATTTGTCTTGAAACTTGTTTTCTTAGATTGAGAAATTCAAAATCTTTGATCTAATAATAATTTTATTTTTCTTTAAGAGTTTTACATTCTTGTTTTTAAAAAAAGTGTATTTATTAAAATTACCAAAAATTACTTTAAAAAAGAATTCTTTTAAGAAATATAGATCATTTAGTTTTAAAATAGTTAAGTATTAAAGGCTATTATTCTTAAGGAGGTATTGTGGCAAATAAAGACACCAATAGGTTATGGCTATTGGTTTCTTTCTCACGCACTAGTACTGCCCTTTTTTACAGACTATCGCTCACTTATACAATAAGAGACAATAATTTATGCCTGCTCGTGTTGCTTTGGTATCGATAAAAGTTTGGATTTATGAAAATTTGTCCAAATAAATATGAAAGTTTGTAAAAATGCTGATGAATATGTGTGGCATTGTATAATAGCTGATGAATAAAAGCACAGAAAAATTTACGTATAGTTGTATATAAATACAAATGATTCTATGTAAACTAGATCATCTGTTCAATTTTACAGTTGTTCATATGACCAACTGAACAAATAAGATTCCCTATTTTTAAAAATACGCACAACTAATAATATGTTTATTTGATTTCAATTCCAAAAGTATAAATGGAAAAATGAACATTACTATAAATGAAAATTTATAAATTTACTAGTTAATAAAAAATATCATTTGAATAAATGATTAATAATACAAGCGTATAAAAAAATAAATGATACATTCACTTAATGAACTTATGTATTTAAAAAGATAGATCCGGATGTAAAAAAACTATTATAATTATTTGAACAAAAGAAATTGCGGATAAATAATCGTAATGAATAAATGTAGAAATGATTTTATGAATAAACGACATTATGATCATTAGTATTTTTAAGGTTGTGTATAAATAAACATTTGTAAACATGATGATCGGTACAAATGAAAGTTGGGGGTCATCTGAGTGATCCGAACGGACATGTAGCCAATGTAATAATTGTAAAGGAATTCAAAAAGTAACTTGCTCTCTAACAAGTTATATCAAATATCCATTCGGACAACTTTCATTTGTACCGATCATCATGTTTATAAATGTTTATTTATACACAACCTTAAAAATACTAATGATCATAATGTCGTTTATTCATAAAATCATTTCTACATTTATTCATTACGATTATTTATCCGCAATTTCTTTTGTTCAAATAATTATAATAGTTTTTTTACATCCGGATCTATCTTTTTAAATACATAAGTTCATAAAGTGAATGTATCATTTATTTTTTTATACACTTGTATTATTAATCATTTATTCAAATGATATTTTTTATTAACTAGTCAATTTATAAATTTTCATTTATAGTAATGTTCATTTTTCCATTTATACTTTTGGAATTGAAATCAAATAAACATATTATTAGTTGTGCGTATTTTTAAAAATAGGGAATCTTATTTGTTCAGTTGGTCATATGAACAACTGTAAAATTAAACAGATGATCTAGTTTACATAGAATCATTTGGATTTACATACAATTATACGTAAATTTTTCTGTGCTTTTATTCATTTATATTCATCAGCATTTTTACAAACTTTCATATTTATTTGGACAAATTTTCATAAATCCAAACTTTCATCGATACCAAAGCAACACGAGCAGGCATAAATTATTGTCTCTTATTGTACTTCCACTCACATAAAATATCATAAGTCGCTAACTTCAAATATTTTTTATAAAAAAATGAATACCGCTCGTTTATGTTATTTTTGATAGAAAATACTTGTTATAACTTCAATTAAATATTTTCAGTTTTTCAAAAAAATTCTAAGAAAAGTTTGGTTGTTATTCAATAAAATGTTCACTCTAACTACGGTCAGGATAGTGAATACATGTTAGATGTACGATTTTTAATTGTTAATATTTCGAAAATTACCACCGCAAGGACTATTAAAAAAAATTTATTCGTAATATTGTAAAAAAAGTGATTTTTCACAATACCTCCTTAAATGACAAAAAATTTTTCTTCATCCTTGAATATCTTTTTCTACACGGGAAGAAAATTGAAGGAGTTATTACTATTTTACTATTGTAATTTTTACTAAATAAAATAGTAACGGTGGACTATACTTCTCATTTAGTAATTTTCACGATCTACTATTGTAAATTTTATTCAACAAATAAGACTAACAAGAGTTTTAAAAAGTCGAATACTATAGAGCAAATTATACAATATGTGTTTGTGAACTTTACAATTCAACTATTGTAAAAATTCACAGTTGGTTTTTTTAAAAGAATTATTAGGGAGGGAGAGAGATAGAAGGTTGCACAAATTGGTACCTGTACAGTAATCGAAAAAAGAAACGAATATTTTCGTGCTATCTGGGAATCGAACCCAGAACTCTGTGTTGAGTAGCCAGAGACTCTCCATTTAGGCTATCCGCGGTAAACTAAGACCCACGTCCTTTAACATTTATATAAACTCAGAGTCTAGCGCTGTGCACGGCCATCACTCACACTAATTGAGAGACATTCCAATTCAACTATTGTAAAATTTGCTATAGTTCTATTGGAAAGATACAGAGGCAGCACTGGAAATTTTCATCTCTTACTTTTTACAATAGTAATAACGTATTTTTTCATTAATAAATAGTATTTTTTCTTCTAAAATATTTGATAATTAATAGTAATAAAGGTATAGTCCAGCTTTACAATAGTTGTATCGTAAATTTTCCCAGAAATTTCTTCCCGTGTAGATAAAATTCGTAAATTCTTGAATTAATTCAAACTGAATGCCTCGTAACAAGAGTCGCATTTTTTTATATTTTCATAAATAAAAGAGTTTTTCATCAAGGCATGGAAGAAAATATTTTGTAATTGTGAAAATTTCTTTCGCCTTTCGGATCTTATTAGTATTTCACATATAGTAAAAATAAGTAGGAGAGAAAAATAGAAAATATTTCATCACTCACCATCGAAGTTATACCACTATCCCCGCTAATTAATAACTCCTCCTCATATCCTCGAAGACCGGAAGAAAATCGATGTCCGCAAATTATGATTATCTAAAACAAAAAATAAAAACCATTTCAACGCCATACTCGAGTGTATAAGACTTATCCACACACACACAATAATCATAAAGCATTGTTAAATACACATACATAAGATGCAAACTGGTTGTGTTGTATGGAGCATAACTTTATTAACTTGTTTAAATTTCCGCGACAGTCGGAAAGAATGGATTCGAATCGAGTACGTGGGACCTTGAAACATGGCTCGAGGGTGGGCGTTTGCTTTTGTATTCTCTTTGGTATATTACCTCCCCCATACATCCATACATATAAATACATAATATGTATACCTATAGAGTAGTGGCGTTGCGAGAATGATTTATCGGGGACGCTCACGGAGAGACGGCCAACAGCTGGCGTGATATCGAATCGACGGGCAAATAACCGCCCTCAGGATCACCAGGGCCCGTTCTTGCATTCACCAGACTCAAACTCAGAGGGGGTTATGCACATATTTTTTCAGTTAGCATATCTCGCCGCTACATCAGTATAAGTAGAATACCTCGGCAATTTATCTGGGATTTATTAACCCCCAGGCTGGGAAATGAAAATAATTGTCAAAATTATTTCCCTATGATTTCAATGCCCGAATAAAACAAGTTGTTATGCGGAGGGTAAATGGATCTCTACATTGCCTATTGTCGGCAACTTTATTTTCACTCTGGCATACCCACGATAAGTATCCAGTTGATGAAAAAAAAGTATTTTATCCTTTTTCTTCTTCACCATTCTTCGGCATCTTTTTTTATAATTTTTTTTACGTATATACAAAAAAGAGAAAAATTAGCATATCAAAGGAATCGAGATGCCTAATCACCTACAACACAATCTTTTCCTCAATAATTTATAAAATTGCTCTATTACTCGGCAGCTGTCGTGGCCGATACGAGCCCGTTGAGTTTAAAGCGGCAATGATCCGCTCTTTCGCCTGTTCGTTTTCAGGCCCGATGGCAATTTGTGCGAAGCTCCCGGTTGCAAACATTGTTTATGGAAATTACAACGGTCAAGCCGCCGATCACGTTCCAACAGTACCTTCGGGACTTTTATCATCATCCTCTTCCTCCTTCTCTTCTCGTGTATGAAATTTATATATATATATATGTATAGTTATCGTATATTTTAGCGGGCGATTATTTTCTCCATGATTACGGCGGGCTTGTGCATTTTGATGCCCAACCCCGAAATCAAAAGTTCTCGTTAGTGTTATCGCGATTTATTATAAATCACGTTGCGTCTTTACCTGTTTTTGTTGGATTTATTTTCAACAAAAAAAAAATATATACATATATGTTTATAATAAGGTGATAAAGCTACGGCAGACGATAGCTTATCGATTCATAATCTTACGCGTGCGTAAAGAATATTATTATTACTAAATATACATTACAATTGTGTGTTATATTATCTCTACCTCTGATCAGCCCGTACCGAGAATGAGAAAGCGTATGATTTACGTTCCGTCTTATTAACATTAAATCATGCGTGTTCTACATGCACACACACTTATGCCCACGTCAACTTTACCGGAATATTTCATATGTTGTCGAAATTTTTTAGTTAAAACGCTTCTTGGATATTTTAGACGGTCAAGTATTCTGAGTTTATATTTTAAGGGTAAAATTTAATAAAATAAATTTTTGAAATTTTCTTATGCAAGGTAAAAAATTTTTTGCATCACCTAAAAAAAATATTTTTTCAGAATTTTAATAAAAGTAAAGTATTTGTTTTTACTGCGTGAAAAATATTTTCATTTAAAATTTCAATAATTACTAAGAGCTTTTTATGTACAGTAACAAATTTTTTATTATTGCGCCAAAAAAAAAGCGTTTGTGTCTAAATTTAAATAATTGTAAATAATCGACATGAAATTCTTAAGAATTTAATATCAAAATTGTTAATAAAAATTTTATCTACCCAATACGAGAATTTTTTTTATACAAAAATATCTCACATATTTTTAGATATTTTCAAAATCTAACTAAAAAAAAATATCTACATAAAGGATAATTTTTTCCAACACATCCTAGGATGTTGTAAATGAACCCATGCATGCAGTAGCTTAATTTCTAATGCAGGATTTAATATCAACGGTTATGCTAATAGCGCTCCAACATAACATCATTCTGTTGTTATTATTACTCCATATACATCAGATGCAAATAAGATACACCCGGAGTCGTGTGATTCTAAAATAAAACACTATTTTTCTGGCATCAATTCCAAGAGCACGTGCTGCTTCAGGCTACTTATATATAACTATAATATATAATTCATAATACATAATATGCCTTAACTCCGTTATTTTACGATGCCAATCCCGGTGTCAGAACTTCGTATTTAGTGAAGAAGAACACCGAACATTCGGTATAGATTTTTTTGTGAAAGTAAAGGATGTGACAGAACGCACGTAGCCCAGGGTTGGGTTGCGTCAGAAAATTGTTCTCTCCGATTTTTGTTTGGAACGATTGCCATGATTCAACACCATGCGCGAATGATCCACCTTCGCTGCGTCATATCATGAAATTCCTGATGCAATAGTTTTGCCACGTGCATGTAAGGAAATTTTGTATTCTTTTTTTTGCCAGCTTGCTTTGATTTTTTCAGAGATTTGTGAATTTGGGTTTGTTTGTGTCATTATTCAAAATTTTGACATGAGACACTTGGTGTTTGCTTTTAAAACAGTTCAATTGACATGGCAACATTTGCGCACGTACACGCTGGCGCATGGAACCTACGGTGTCTATATAAAGGAGGGGATAGGTGACCTTCCAAACCAGAAAGTTGCTAACACTCTCGAACGCCGGTCGTATTTACCTGAATATTTTATTTATTGATATTTAAATTCAAATATATTTAAATAATTGATAAGTATTAAATTGTTTAATTTATCTCATCAAGATCTACAGTCTCTATTTTTTATAAGGTAAGGATAATCAATTTTATTTAATAAGTATAAGTTTATTATATGCCAAAAGTTCATTCAACTTATTCAGCGATACAAGGTCTAGTTCGTCTATCGCTTTTTCATTTATTTTTTTATTTTACTCTGCTAGATATATATATATATATATATATATATATATATTCGGGATCTAATTAATTAATTGTGAAAGTTTTTTTCGATCTAACATTTACAAATTTTTTTTTAAACTTTTGGGGGTTCAATTAATTAGAGATCAGCTATCAAAAAAGTAAAAAATTGATATCATCTTCAACACGTGCATTTTGGAGCTCGTGCTGCCATCTTTCAAAGATTTGCGATACTAAAGTTGCCAAGATGGGTTTAAAAATATTTTATCTTAAATCTTCTTTATGGTACTACAGTCATTTCTAAATAAAGAATTCTAATTTTTTTGTTGTTCGGCAATTCAGGTCTATGACCTCGTATTATAATAAATTAAGACAGTTTATTAATCTTGCGTGGTTAAAATAATACTACTGATGATTCGACTTGAAATAGTAGAAGTACTTCAGTTCATAGAAGTACTTAAGTTATTCGTAGAAGTACTTAAATAGAAAAAAAAAGTTGACATAAAAATTTATAAAATTTTTCTTTCAATTTACAATTTTTAGAGTAGTGCAATAGTTTCAATAAATGATGAAACTTCAAAGTTCTATGCGTATTTATTTTATTAATTATATTTTGATGACGAAATTTCATTTATAGTTTCTGATAAAAATTTACGTGGAATTACCAAGTAATCTAGAACGTTTAAGTATGTTTGTAATTAAATACTTGAAAAGTTATATTTGTTAACTTTTAATAAATATATTTTGGGAATTTTTTTATTTTTGGTTTTTAAATGAACTAAAATATCTGAGTTAACAAAATTTTTTCAATAATGATGTTAGGTCACGCACGATTTTATACAAGTTATTCTCTCTTTCTTTAAAGTAAATTCATTAAATAAATACTAAATTGTTTGAGTATAATCAAAAGTATGAATTTGTGAATAAATTATAAATTAAAAGTTGGTAAGAAATTTAATTAATGTATCCTGATGTTGTGTTCAATATAAATTTTATAAAATTTAGTCTGAGTAAAATATTTTAACAAATTATCATCATTATTTTTTATCTATACTTCTTGGTTGCCGGTCTAGTGGTAGCGATACCAAGGCCGAAATAAATTAAATTACTTATGTTCAATTTATTAAACGTAACTTCGGACAGTATTTAGTAAAAAAATTTTGCTATGAAAAATTTTATTCTATTTTAATATAATTACAATTTGTTGAAACAAAGTTTGAACGATTATTATTGTCAAAAAATATCAAAATTATAAATGTCAATGTCAATCATAGAGCAATCTCCAAAATTCAAACAAAAATTCGTAGACTTATCATGAAACACATTTAATATTTTTAATAATCATAAAACATTTTTAAATTCAAAAGATTACATTTGTCATATTTATTAAAGTCAATAATTAAAAAATCATGTTCGGCATCACCCGATATGAAAAGGTAGATTTCAACAGAATGTTTAAGTTAAAGAATATTTGAAATGATACCCAAAAATTAATTTTTAGATAAGCCCTAATATCCAAATTAACTGTCCGATTTTGCTCATTCATAAACTTATACGAGGTAATTCGCGGATGAATAAATCTACTACGCATCATTAAGACCCGTTGATAATTGTGGGTGCTGTCCCATCCAAGATTCACATGAAACAACACATTGCCTAAAACTGGTCAAATATGACTATCAACCACCATAAAATAAGAAAAACGCATATTATTATGAGAAATGTATAGGTCAAATTGAACAATAAGCCATGAGCTTGAATGTGATAACTTCAAAAATAAGATATCTTTTCCCGGTCAAAAGTTATTCACGATTTTGCTCATCCTTTCCTTGAACTTATTCAAGACAATCGTCGGAGGAATTAATATGCTAAATTTTAATAAGATCGGTTGAAAATTGTAGAAGTTATCGCGGCAACATTTTGCGTTTTATTATATATTTATATAAATTTTTAAACAAATGCTATTTTCGAGCCTTACTCGACTATTAAGCAGATTATATGATAAAATTTGAAGTAAATTTTAACCAAAGAACGAATTCAATAGATAGCTTTCTATGAAATTTATCAAATTAAAAAAAAAAATTTGGAAAATTATCACCGAAAACTTTTTACGTTTTTATTATAAAAAAAGAATTTACTTATTATTGAATTTTATGGTGATTGCTATTTTAATTACAGCAAAATGACAACACTCAAAGAAAAATTACTGAGCGTAGTAAAGGAGCCCTCAGGAAATGGCAAAAACAAAATAACCGTGGTCGGTGTTGGCCAAGTAGGAATGGCCTGTGCATTCAGTATTCTCACAAAAGTAAGTTCAAGGCATTGAATATTTATTTATTAAAATAAACATAAATATTAATAGAATTTTCCTGGGTGAAGATATAGCTGAAACTAGCAATAACGTTTGATGTTTTTTCTTCCAGTATGTTTCAAGCGACGTCGTCTTGATTGACGTGATGGCCGACAAGTTGAAAGGCGAGATGATGGATTTGCAGCACGGAAGCGCTTTTCTTAAAAACTCCCGTGTGAACGCGAGCACCGATTACGCCGCAAGCGCGGGATCCAGTATCTGTATCGTCACCGCGGGTGCAAGACAACGCGAAGGGGAAACCCGTTTGGACTTGGTTCAACGCAACACCGACATCTTCAAAGGGATCATTCCTCAGCTGGTCAAGCACTCTCCCAACTGCATTCTGCTGATCGTCTCAAACCCCGTTGACATCTTGACCTACGTTGCCTGGAAACTTTCCGGGTTCCCCAAGAATCGCGTCATTGGTTCCGGCACCAACTTGGACTCTGGAAGATTCAGATTTTTGCTGTCCCAAAAATTGGGCGCTGCTCCCACTTCTTGCCACGGATGGATCATTGGAGAACACGGTGATACCAGTGGTAAGTTCCTTCATTCGAAATTCATCAATCTTATCCAGCAATATGATCTTGTATGATTTTTCATGGTCAAATCTGATTTTGAATTCTATAGTTCCAGTTTGGTCAGGAGTTAACGTTGCTGGAGTCCGTCTTCGTGATCTTGACCCGAGAGTTGGTACTAAAGATGACCCAGAAAACTACGGAGACATCCACAATCAAGTGGTCTCAAGCGCTTACGAAGTGATCAAACTAAAGGGATACACTTCGTGGGCAATCGGTCTCAGTGTCGCTAATCTTGCGTCGGCAATGTTGAGAAACTCTGGTCAAGTTCACGCCGTATCGACCATGGTTAAGGTGAGTTGGTCAAACAGAAATTCTTTGCATCGTTTGTTGATAATTACACGGTGATAAATCGGGAGTGTTTAATTCGAATATTTTAACTATCACTCAGGGTACCGGAGTGAAGAAATAAAACACTCTGCGTACGGAGTAAATTTAGAAATTTTTTTCAGCGGAGTGAATGTGAATTTTAGTCCGTAAAACATCCAAGTATAGAGTTTTTGGACTTAAATAAATTTTTATTTAGCTGAACAAGTTTCATATGGCAAAATACTAACAAATACTTCCAATAATTCATCTCAAGTTTGTTTTCAATTATTAGTTACATTTTTCCAAAGAATTTGACTTTTTGGAAAAATAAATCAAATTTTCATAAAGATTATTTTGTTTTCAAATCTGATTGATAAATTATACCATAATAAGCAAAAAAATTAAATTATTAATACTACTACGATTAATTAAATGAAATTGATTACTTTAATGCTACTGAAATTATAAACTGAAAAAATTCTAGTTGTAGAAATTAAAAAAAAAAATATTGATTCAATTCTTGTTAAATATTAAAATTTATTTTCGAAAACAAACCAAGAAAGAAAGGTTGTATCAATTTTTAAAAGTATTAAATTTGCATTTTTGAATTTTCAAACGCATAACAATTATTTTTAAAATTTTTATTCGATTAAACGAAATGATAAAAATCATTCACTCCTTTAATTTTTTACAGTACATGTCTGTTCGATTGATGAAATTAAATTTATTTAAATTTATAATATTGCAATTTTGATATTCTGGTGGTTCAAAATTTAGTATTAATATTTTTTTCATATTTTTTTAGGGATTCCATGACATTGAAGAAGAAATATTTTTGTCCGTGCCCTGTATTTTAAGCTTGGATGGAGTAACTTCAGTTGTCCAACAAAAATTAACCGAAGACGAAAAAGGACTTCTGTTAACTTCTGCTAAAACTATGCACCAAGTCCAAACAAACTTGAAATTTTAATGATCTAGTTATATTAAAAGATATATAATTAAATATTTATTAAGTGTCAATTACATCATTGATTAAAAGGTCTATTTACTGTTTATATGAGTATCAGCCAGAATACCTGAGATCTGCATTATTTAAAAGTCTGATGTTATTAATGAGAACAGAATATTTTTGAAGCAATCTTTAACTATTTCCGAATCATAAAAATACCTCAAACTTACAGTATAAATCATAATTATAATATTTTGTACACCATTGGTGCATTTTAATCTATGTATTTATTGTAATAATATAAGTATGATATCAATAAAGTATTTGTGTGAATATTTAACAACAAAAACAATTGAGAGTTCTCCGTCAATCATGTTGGTAGATAAAATTTTGATATTTATTTGACCTGCTTTGTTAGTTGATTTGTGAATTGATATGAAGAAATTATTAAAAATAAAATGAGAATGGTAGTGTTGTATTTTCAAAAATTTCACCCGAGAATCTTCAAATCAAGCTACAATTTAGTGACTAATAAAGTTTTTAGGTTCAGAAAGACCAATCTAATCCTAACCAAAACGATCTACAGAGCAATTTGTTTTGAGTAAGAAAATTATAATTTTTTATTTTTATCAAAAATTTCATCGCAATGTTTTTTATCAGACCAAATTCTTTGCGAGAAGGACTTTTGTGCAGAGTAAAAACTCCTTCAATAGATAGCATCGACAAAGTTACAATAGTCGGCGCTGGAATGGTCGGAGTAGCGTGTGCCAATGCGATATTGTTTCAAGTAAATTTAATTATACGAAAATTTTGTTACACTCATTGAAGGAATCAAATTTTCAGAAAATTAGCAGCCATGTTGCGATAGTCGACGCTTTTCCCAAAAAACTAGAAGGCGAGGGCATGGACTACTGTCATTCTTCAGTTTTTCTCGACGATCCGTATATCGAGTACGATACAGGTACCGACAATAGCAGCAATTGCTCTCAGCCGATAATACAGTATCCAAAATAATTTATAGACTTTTGCGTGTCAAGCAATTCGAAAGTAGTTATAATTACCGCGGGTGCTCGGCAAATCAAAGGAGAAACGCGACTGGAGTTGGTGCAAAAAAACGTTAACATTATCAAAAATATCGTGCCTCCTTTGGTGCAATACAGTCCTAACGCTGTTTTTCTTGTAGTAACAAATCCTGGTAGGTAATTTTAATTAGTAACATCAATTATTATAATTGTTATGTATTATTATAACTTTTAAATTTTTTATTACCTTTAGTTGATATTTTGTCTTGGGTAACATGGAAAGTAAGCGGTCTTCCGTACAACAGAATAATTGGCAGCGGCTGCCACCTGGACTCCGCGAGATTACGGAGTCTAATCAGCGAACGACTCGGAGTGGCGTCTAAATCAATAAATGCGTTTATTATTGGCGAGCATGGAGATAGCCAGGGTAAGCTTGATACTTATTTCAGGGGCACCACTAGTGCTTTTTTTTCTTTTTTTGATAAAAAAAAAAGATAGTTTTCGGAAAAAAAAAAAAACAATTGTGGCGATTGTTTTAAAAATTTCAGGACACTTATACATACTTATAATGAACTTATCAATTTTTTTAAATAAAACTCTTCAACATTCTCATAGTTTTTGGGTATTCCCCAGTGACTAAAAAAAAGTTGTCCCACTGCTGACATAATTACGGCCTTTACAGTATCCGAAATCGATAAAAAAAAAGTTTGTTGAACTAGAAGATATTTCTTATGCAATGACCCAGAAAAAGAAAAAAATTAAAATTTGATAAAATATTAGAGCTTTAAAAAGAAAAAAATTTTTGAAATTTGCTAAAAAATGTGATAATTTTTGACCTGCAAAAATTATAATTTGTATGTAATCAAAACACTAAAGATGCATAATCTAGAGTACTAAAAAAAATTTTTAAAATCGGATCGATCGTGATTTGAAAAATTTGAAAAATTCAGTTTTGAGAAAAACGCTTTTAAAGAGTAAGTTATTCTTAAAAATTTTAAGTTAAAATTATAGTGTGTTATATTTATAAGCACGAACTACCAAAAAATGTCAAAAATTCGATTTTTTAGAAATTACACTAATGATGCCCTTTAATGGCTAATTTAACGCTCAAAAGCGAAATGAGAATAAAAATTATATCTGAGAATTTTCAGTTCCTTTGTGGTCGGGAGTTAACGTTGCTGGAGTGTTATTCCGTGATATTATGCCAACCATAGGTTTGGAAATGGACCAGGAGGGGTGGAGTGAGCTGATGACTGATAACGTCAAGGCGTAGGTCTATACTTTTGAACAATTAATAAAATATCGAATATGACAAGAAATCGATTGAAAACGAAAAATTTTTGTCAAGTAGGGGCGCGACTGTAAGGTGTCTGAAAGGGTACTCCAACACCGCGATCGGATTGACAGCAGCGGACATTACCCGAGACATTTTAAGGAACTGCCCAGCAGTTAAGTCAGTGTCGACAATGATCCAGGCAAGTGGAAAAATTGGCGACATTTTCTTTGATAGCATTGACATTGATTGAAAATCTTTTTGAGCAGGGTCATCACGGCATTCATCATGAAATGTTTTTGTCCCTGCCCTGTACCTTGGGCGAGAATGGCGTGAGTCAAGTTATACGAATGCGTATCACCGAACACGAGAAAAAACTCTTCCAGAAATCGGCGGAAATTGTCTACAATATCCAAAAGGGCCTCAAGATATCCTGAAGAAAATTAAAACTTTAGCAAACGGCAATTTGTAATTTGCACGATAATTTAATTATTTATTTATTTTTTTTTTTTCATAATAAAAAGCCAGATACTGAGTGAAGTAAATAGTTGCGTGACTTAAGTAAAACGATTCTCCGTTCATCCGGGTCGAAGGACGAGTGGCTTACCTTGAAGACCGATCTCGCAGAATGTTGACAAGACCAATACATATATCTAAGATACTATATAAGAAATAAGTATACAAGTTGAGGGCTAGTTACTGTGTTATTAAGAGTTAAGTTGAACGGCCTAGTGCCTAGTGACTCTGCGATTCACCAATTACACAATATTCATTAATTATTTTTAAGGATAGATCCACGGTAAAAAATTTACAGAGTGGTCAATTTTTAATTGATTTAATTCCTCCGGTTTAAAATTCACGTCGAGAAGGATTTCACTTTACATTATTAATAAAAAAAAAACTCCGCAGAGTAAATTCTTATTGAATAAAAATTAAAATTGTTGTTATTCATTTAAAAACTTACAAAATTTAACATTGCTTGGGTATTTTCAGAAAAAAAAACATATGTTGATTTTCCAACAATGCTAGTGTAAAAAAATAAATTTTCAGTCTAACGAAAAATTTTTTACTGTTAAATGGTATTTAATTAATCCCATACTGACAATTATTAATAAATTCGTATTCCGGTGGTTTATACTCGAGTGTTGAACAAGGAATAAGGCCGTAAATTAGCCCGAGGCTAGGCCGCGGCAAGGTGAGCGGACGATGCGGAAATTCACCACGGGGTGGCGTACATTCGCATAGTTCCCTTGTCTTCTCGTAACCATAATACGCGTACAAGACGACTGACTGAAGACGAACAATTAATAATTCTTATTGAATAGATTTAATTCCCAAAACTTTTCAGATGCCCATCATTCATCTTCATCTTCAAAAGCGATAAAGATCCTCAAAAGTCATAATTCATCAGGATTACCGTAACCCTCATCTGGAGCCACCCCCGAATCTCAAAACTCACCTAAACGAGTCGGTCATATCAAACTACGGATAAAAAAAAGGGACATTTGGAGTAAAAAGGTCCCAAATGAATAATAAAAAATAAAATAAAATATTTCAGGGTCTCTGGGCTTGGTTCTACGTACCTGCGCAGGAAGGTGGTGGCAGTGGGGCCCGTTCTCCAGCCAGAGCCAACAAGCAGACCAAAGACCAGTCAGCCGCTGGTTTATCATGCAGTCAGTGGAGCTCAGTCAGTAGACTGTAGTCAGTAACACACCTCAGTCATCTGGTTTTAGTGATTCGCGGGTAGTCGTAAGTGTTTAGTTTCAAACTTGATCGGGTTACTTTTGTTACAAATGACAATAAACCACCGTGGAATTAACGTCCATCTTCACTGTCAACGTCACCTATTTCTGCTAAAATCAGGACTTGTAAATCGGGACTTTGGTGCAAAGTCCTGATAAATATCAGTGTTATATGCCCGTTATTGATTTTTCCCGGTTTAAATCGTCGAATCGTCGGTATTTAAGTTAATAATTGTTTTAAACAGACAACGGTTTGTTTAGTGCGAGAGGAAGGGGTGCGTCGCTAGATCGTTCGACCGGGAAATGACTATATCCTATGCTAGCGAAGTACCAAACGGATCCAGCTTTGGCTGTTTCTGGAGAATACTCCGCAAGTGAGTGATTTTTTTTTATTTAAATATATTATTATTATTATTATTATTATTATTATTATTTTTATTTTTATTATTATTGTTGTTATTATTATTGAAATTAATTATATATTTAAAAATAAAAATAAAAATTAATTAGATATTCATTATTCTTTTATTAAATTATTAATACTGAATGCTTATTAAAGTGTTTGTGTATGGATGTATATTGATCAATCGATCAGCTGACAACGCATTAATATGAGCCTTGGATGTTACTTGGTTTTTGTTACCATGACGCAAAAACATCGCCACGTACGCGATTGCAATTTATTTTAAATAAAGTAATTCAATTAAAACAAACGTTTTACTTTGTTTAAAGTAATTTATCATGATTTCGCCGAAGATTTTATTAAATAGATACTGTAATTTTTAAAAATAATTATTCCGAGATTAGAGCAAGGGGTAACGCAGAATACAGCGTAGGCGGCTGAAATTGCGATATTGCGAGCGCGATTGTGCAATAACTCTTTTAAACTTTCGAGTCGTTTACTGACGGTAACACCGGCTACAAGATTATTTTCCGCGTTCAAAGCTGACAAAACAATCACTTGTATTTTTTATTTTATTTTTAAGTATAATAAGGACAAGTATATGTTGGTATTTATATTTATATTTATATTTATATTTATATTTATATTTAAATGAACTGTGACTTTATTTGAAGAGTAAACTATTTCTTCGAAAAAAACCCCGTAGCAATTCTATTTTTATTTAGAAAGCGCTATTTTTTTATGTTGCGACATAAGTCACTTAGAATCCACGGCAATGACCTTATGCTGCTAAAATTTTCGCGATTAAAAAAAATTTTTTCTATAATAATTCGTTGATAATAAAATATCTATAACGCTGTCAGTCGTACGAGTGGTTAAAAAAATAACGACCGTCGTAAAACCGTCAAGTTCATCAGCTTTGTTTATAAATATGATAAGCATATATGGATCGGATTTAAAGCGAAGCGAGTTGAAAATATTTTTAAATAAGATAATAAAAACACATAAATATTGCGGGATTTTTTTAATTGATTGGTCAAGGAAATTTTTGGTAATTGTGATGTCACGTCGATATAATAAAAATATAAATTTGCTTGTAACTAAACATGAAATTTTATTCCAAGTTAGCTCTAGATTACGTAATTAGAAAAAAATTATTAAAATACTATTATTGCTCATCACTTTCTGAGTTGGACAGCAGTTAATTACAGCTGTTGTATTTGTGTATAGCTGACTATTTATTTATTGTACAAGTTGACGGAATAAAGGAGCGATAAATTTCTGACAACTTAACGGCTTTCACCAAAAAATACACGGACGGTAATACTATTCGTTTTTTTACGGGTTCGATGGTTAACTTTTTAATCATTTTCGTTTGAGATTTAATAGAAAATTTGTTAAAAAATAAAATTTTTTTAGTAGATATTTCTATTAGTTTCAAGAATTGAATCGTTTTTTTGTACTAAGAATAAAAAAAAAACAATGAAAATATAAATTTGTAAAAATTTCGAAAATTCAAAAAAATATTTCCAATTTTCTTTTTAATTTATCAGAAAATTTTTCAGTTTAAAATTAAAATATCTATTTGACTTTTTAAAGCCAACAAAATAATAAATTTAAAACGATGTTAATCATTTAAAAAATAAAATAAGATGGATATAAAAATGCATATGTGCATTTTGTATACAAAATTTTTAAATATCGTAAAAAAATTTATTATTACAAGTTCAACAAAAAATATATCTTCTTTGTTTAGTCTTTTAGTCTTTAAAAATCAAAATTTAACTCAATATATCATTGTTTATATTTCGATCATAAATATGAGTCATTATTATTATATTATTTATTTTATTCGGAAAAAATTATTTAAATTAACTGTCGAAAATGATCAATATAAGATAAGAAGAAATTTTTTTAAAAATTAGAATACTCTTTATTGAAATTAGAAGCTTGTTATGATTCGATTAATGAGTTTGAAGCGTGTAATTGTTAAACAATGATAAAAGTATGTAGTCTGTATCTGAGTCTGGCTAGTCGTAAGAATAAGATGGATTAACGTGTAACATCACTTGTGCAAACAGATCGCGTGAGTCAAGTACCCGGAGGAGTAGACTCGGGGGCAAATAAAATAGCGGTGATAAGAATAAAAGTTTTGTTTTATTTTATTTGCAATTTTTATTAATCGGATTACCGGAGCGCGCAAGTAAAACATCAGTTTCATAGATTTAGATTTATAGATCGCGATGTATTTACTCTTTCGCTGATTGAAAATTAAAAAATATTAGTACAGGATTTAGATCTGAGGATTTAGTACCGAGTTGATATAGAGATACGCATCATGGTTAATTAATTAATTGAGTATTCATGCTCGGATATCGGGAGCGAGCTGCATCGTATTTTATTTTGTGGATGCGTAGGGGTTTTATGTGTACTTATTTTATTCTATATCGTGTATCGTTCGCCGTACAGCATGCTGGAAAATGAGCGTGTCAGGTGGTTGTACATATAAACATATAGATACACATTTACGTATACACTTACACTCGATACGCGGTCTATCGTCTATAAATAAGTGTCTTCTAGTCCCAGAATAGAAAATCTTGTCCACGAATAGCTATTCGACTATTATGAGGAAAGTTGTTATTACTGACGATTAACTTCTGGTTTTACATGACGATTTTATTGGCTGTAATTGTGCCGTGATTAGTCGTTATTAAATTGCACACCTCAAACTTGAAAGCTTCAGTCCAGATAAGTTTATTTCGCTGGATATGTATTCAATTTTTTTGTTAATTTTTATTCAAATGTTTAAATGTATTTCTGACAAATAATTTTTTTCTGATAGAAAAATTTAGGGGAGAATAATTTTGAACCAAGAAAATTATTTAAATTTTTTAAACAAAGAATAATTTTTTACTTCAAGTAATTTTCAAGCTTGTTGAAATGATTTTCTTGATTAAAAATTTTTTCCCTTGAATTAAGTCGATTTTTATTTTAAATAAAAACACATATGAATTATTGAGAATACATATTTCCTTATCTGAAGAATTTGTCGGATTGATGAAAATAATCTTAATAGGTATAATTCGAATAAAGCTATTCGTATATTTTTCTATTATAATGAAGGCAGATATTGATATTCTTTTATTAAAAAATTAATAGATTTAAATAATTCATCATTTCAATAAATTCTTAAGCCAAAAAATCTTTTTGGATATTGTCAAATTTTTCACATAGTCAACGTGTTGTAAAAAAACAACGAATATTTTATAAACACTATTACAAAGAATAAACCTTACATAACTTCTAACCATAAAAAAAAAAAACCAACAAAAATTCTATTAGAAAAAACACGTTCTTTATTTATGATTCGGAATTCAGTTGCATACGCACGATACCTTTCGAAAAAATAAAAAAATCTACCTGAGTACTTTTTCAGTGACGTAAAATTTTTGAAGAATGTAACATTCTACACCAAAATTTCAAGAACTTTTAACTCCAATATCAAACTCAATATTCGTGAACTGAAATTTTGCGACTCTATTTTTTACATCATCATTCATAAATAATTGAATAGCAAGCATGATTCTAATCATGAACAGAAACAGTTGCAATTCTAAAAAGAAATCTTTATAAACCATCGTTAAAAGATCGATTGAGGCATGAAATTTTTTGAAGATTAGTTGGAAGTGTTTTAAATTAGAAGTTGATAGACCCGAGGATCTCAAAGTGATCACGGTTAGTTATTAGTGAACGCTTGACATAGATTCCAGAGTTGCCTGAGGACTAAAGTGGTACCTCATAGTAACAGTCGAGCACGCTCGAATCACCTGGTGTACAGAGAAGGTACACATAAAATAACGTACGGTGCCGCTATGTCGCTACCGAATCGCCTAGAAACTCGAGCTGACCTGATACAACAATCCGACTTGGACTTGCAATCGCACGTAGTGTTTTTCTGTCGCTTATTTCACTACATTCTACAGTCTACAGTCTACAGTAGTTCACACGTGTCTTGATGCTCTTACATTAACATTAATATTAGACCCGGTACAATCGAATCGAATCGGGGATTTAATAAATACAGTCCGTCCATTGACCATTCACTTCCTTTTTACTTCTACTTCATTGTCCTAAAATCTCCAACCTCGAGCAACTCAACAACAGCCAACACCAATAACAATACTTCATGGTTTGAATCTTAAACCTCAGCAAAAATAGCCAACCCGCGTCCTCAAATTATAACTCATATCGATGCATTTTCACGTTTTACACTTTTTATTCCTCCTCGAGGCTCGAGGACTGAAATAATTATTCCTCCTCTGTCTTATTTATGTGCATACATATGAATTTATAGTTAAAGTTATACCTCGATCAACGTTCCCTCTGAATTCTTGGATTAGGTGAATCTCTTGCATCGTTTGTTCGTAAAATTATTTTTGGGTAAGGATTTCCATGGCTAGTATTAATAGTAATCGCTAAGTAAGGACGAACCGGCTGGCATCATTCTG